CTTTGCTAAGCTTGTTCTAAGTAGGTGCTTTAGACCACTGAGCCATCTCACCAGCCCCCGACAGACTTACTGTTAATACTCAAATATACTTGTCAGATCAAATTGTCCCAGTTGCTCCAGAAACCAAGATTTTTCCCCTGGTGATTTCTCCTACCTCCTCCAATGGATCTATCATTCACAGATCAAGCAAACATCCAGCTGTGATAATATGGTTTTAAATTTCTGGGTGTTACTGGGGACTGAGCCTAGAGCTTTGAATATGCCGGCCAAGCATTCTAGTGATGAGCTACATCCCCAATCCTTACAAAGGTGGTTTTAAGATGGCTACGTCCCTGGTCACAGACCCTGCTAAAAAGCCTAAGACTGTCTTCAAATAACTTCTGCAGTGGAAACTACTTCTGAGACTGAAATATAAGACAAGAACCAAAGTTTTAATTCTGAGTTGCAGTGAAGGGAAAAAAGACTATATTCATAGCAGTGCCAACATTTGAAGTGGAGTCTTACATATTTCATTACCTACAATGGAAGTAGTTAACATTGGAAGAGATTACCAGAAGAATAAAAGATTTAACTCAAAAAATAAAATCATAAAAATAGGCTATGTCTATTACCTCTCTATAGAGATCCATGTTTAATAAATGGACCAAATGTGATCTCCCTTCCCCATCTGAGGATCATAGTCTAAGAAAATACAGCTTATGACTGCCATCAAGGGATTACACTGACAATCCTTCTCTGACCTTCTGAAGATATCACCAAGTCTTAAGTGACCAAAATCCTTAATCACCCTTCTACTCCTAACCTGAATTCTCTCCTAGCAGAAATGCACAATAAAAGGATGGTGGAAGCAAGTATTTGAAACCTTTTTGACATTTTGTTTGCTCGAAACAGTAACAGCCTCTGCATGGTGGCACACAGCTGAAGCAGAAGCATCAAGTTCCAGCCATGCCTAGGCAACTTAAAGAGACCCAGCAAGACCTCAATCTCAAAATTAAATAAGGTCTTGGGATGGAGCTCAGTAAAAAAGCTCTAGGTTTAATTCTCAGTGTAGGGGAGGGGGGAGTGGGAAATAACTTCAACCTCGTTAAACAATCTACAATGGGTCACAAAATATGTAAGATACTATAAAAAATAAAATTTAGTACTTGTTTTCTCTATACAACACATTTCAGAGTACAACTAGACCAGAAAACTATCATTTCAATAACTATTATATACAATATTAAACTTAATATTCTCTAGAAAAGGCAAATTTTGGTGCAAGCCTGTAATTTCAGCACTCAGTGGGGCTGAGGGAAGAGGACTACTGCAAAGTCGAGGCCAGCCTGGGCTACACAGTGAGTTCAAAGCTAGCCTGAACTACATAGCAAGACCCTGCCTGGAAAAATAAAACAAAACAAACAAGAAAAGGCAAATCTAGAGATATCACAGATCAATGTCTGCAGGGTTCTGTAGTGACAGCTGTACAATTCCATAAAATTTACTACCAACTCCTAAATTATAGACATTAAAGAAATGAATTTGTGGCATGAAAATACATTGTAAGTTGTTAAAAGCAAAAACTTTGAGCAAGTTCTCTGAATTATACTAAGAACTAAGTGATCTGTGAGTACTCACAAGAATTACATTAAAGAAACTACCAATGAGATTATTTCCTAATCTGATCATATTATAAAGGAATCCACAAGATTACATTCTTTTCTATCCTAAAAAAGGGGAACGACTAAGAAAAAAACCATTCAGTAGTTCAATATTATAATTCAGTCTAAATTCTCACAAATTCTAACAACCGTATCTTAAGTATCTCTTCCTTAGGTGTAAAATACTTACATTCATCATAAAATCCGTAAATCCTATTGATGCTGGCACATTCATGGTTCCCTCTGAGAAGAAAAAAATTCTCTGGATATTTGATTTTGTAGGCCAGTAAGAGGCAGATAGTCTCCAATGACTGCTTTCCCCTGTCCACATAGTCCCCAAGAAACAGATAGTTGCTTTCTGGTGGGAAACCACCATATTCAAAAAGTCGAAGCAAATCATAATATTGTCCGTGAATATCACCTAGAAGCAAGAATTTGGTTAGTGTTACCATAACTATAATTAAATTCACCAACAAAGCTTTGGAAAGACTTTTTTTTTTTTTTTTTTGTGGAACCGGGGTTTAAACTCAGGCCTTTGCGCTTGCCAGGCAAGCACTTATTCTACTGAGCTATCTCCCTGGCCCCTAGAAAGACATTCTTGAAATTTTCATTGCACACTAAACGATCTAATGATTAGACCTTCATTTGACAGCCAGCCAAAGGCTGAGCATGATGGCACAAACACCCGTAATTCCAGTACTCTAGGAGTCTGAAACAGAAGGATAGCAGGAGTTCAAAGCCAGCCTGATTTGAGACACTTTCTTTTAAAGACTGCTAACACCAGGGCCGGCCAAACAGCTCAGCAGACTAAAGTGCCTGGGGGTTTGACCCCAGGGCCTGCCCCTGGGACACGCAGCAACGGAGACTGGGTGTGGTGGCACCAGTCACTAGAGTCCAATCTAGTAGTGAGACCCTGAACACCCTGTAGATCCTTCCCTAAAAATACAAAACAAAAATACAGCTAACACTAAGTAATTACCAATTTTGTATCACATTTCATTCAACAGAGTATAAAAAAATTTTAAATGCATATATGTCGAGAACTTCAGACGAAATTCAATTAATTCTGAATTTATTTTGTGGAAAGGCATATTCTGTCTCGGCATGCTTTCTTGCCAAGTAACATGGTTTTCCTTTCAGGGTGGCTGATCACTATCAGATCTCTGACAGCTCAGTCTCCTGTACTATGTCAACTGAACCTCTGGGTAAAATCATACCCCACACCCACACCACTTCAACTTTCCCCTGCCAGATAATGGCCAAGGAGCATTTCACTTAAAAAAAAAAAAAAAAGAAAAGAAAGCACACAAATTTAACCTGAGCCAAATATGCTAGAACATATTATTCTAGTTTTTTTACAATCTGTATAGAAAATTTGCTTCTACAATGTACAAGAGTATAAGGATTAAACGAGCTCCAAAATCAAGTTGTATTTTTAGGTATAACCAGAGTTGCTTTAAGCTTGAATATAACCCTATATTGACGTAGTTTAGACCTTTTCTTAGCTCTCTCCCTTCTTAGTTTTGTTTTCTGTTTACACTTTCAATGAAATATTCTTTAAAATGATACAAATTTAAGTAAATTAACTCCACTCAGGCATTTATTCTACTGCCATTGTAAGTAGTTCCAGGTTATTATATAGAAATGAGTCTTCTAGCTAATACAGAGTCAACAGACCCTTGATGGAATCATATCATCAAAGAAATTTAACGTGCCAAAACTTACCACATATTTTGAGTGGTGCTTCAAGTTCTAGTAGGATAGGCTGACTCAGAAAGATCTCACGAGACTTCAAGCACAGTCCTCTGATTTCATTCTCCTGTAGCTGGACATTCTTACCTGGCTTGGACCCTCTCACTATAGGGGGGAAAAATTCCAGTTAGCTCAATCAACCCAAATTACAATTTAACATAAAAAAAACTGTAATACTTAAAGAAGGTAAAAATATGGCTTAACTTGCTTTCTAAGTAGTCTTTATTTTTTAGGATATTCATGAAGAACATGGGGGGGATGTTGAGAGAGGGCCTCACTTTATGTTCAAGCTAGATTTGAACTCACTATGTAGCCCAGGCTGGCCTCAAGCTTACAATCCTGCTTCAGCATGAGTGTTAGGATTACAAATGTGCACCACCATACCCAGGGAAGAACACAGTTTTAGTGACTAACTAGATTCAGAAAATCTTAGGTATTATTGGACTTAGTTTAGTTGCATCTCCCATACCAAGTCAAGACTCCTTAACCACATCCCAAACAAGGGGTCACTGCTGTGTAAGAACACTAAGTGTCAGAAATGACTCCACATACCACATAACTTCTGGTCTGTTCTACATCCAAGCCACACATCTGGCTGTGTTCAACTACAGTCCTCCCACTACAACAGCTCTTTTGGTCTCCAGTACTCTCAGCCTTCATAACCAGTAGCATTTGCACAGCACATTCAGACTGTCATGTTACCAAATTTAAGAACTGCTTATTTTAAAATGTGGAAGTAGAAATGTTCAAGAATCCTCTGCCTTGAGTTGGGCATGGTGGCACATGCCTATAAACCCAGCATTCAGGATGCTGAGCCAGGGGAATCATTGTGAGTTCAAGACCAGCCTGGGCTACAAAGTGAGCTCAAGGCTACCCTGAACTACATAAGAGGACCTGGTCTCAAAAAGACAAAATAAATTAAATAAATACACGTGACAAAGGGGATCGCTATGTGCTGAAAGTTTTGAAGTCATGTGAATGGACAGAAAATAGGAGAAAGAAATAATCCCACAACATGAGACATCTTGAACTCAAGTACATATCAGAGCTTTCAGTTCTGTTCACTGTCAAAACAAAAGGCCTTGCAACAGTATTTATCAGTAGGTAAGTACTAGCAGTAATGAAGAAAAATGTTTTGGTTCCAGTGGCAACAGATTAGTCAGTCATCAAGTACAGATTAAATAACACAGAACTGCTAAATGTACCCTAATTTTACTGCTGGCTGGCAGCAATCTGAAAATGTAAGGAGTCTGATTACCCGCGAAGTGTTTGAATTTAATTATTTAGGGTACACAAGATTTAGGAAAGCAAGGAGTCTCTAAATTGAAACTAAAGTAAAAATATAGGGCCGGCAGGCTACACGGGGAAATTAAAGTTACATCTTTTCATATAGAACCCAGTGTTGTGACTTAATTTTAGCAAAATCACAATATCAAACTAAATCATGTTGCTATTTTAAATTTTATTAGCTCAAGAGGCTCTGTATTGGCAGGGTGTGGTGGCATACCCCCATAATCCCAGTGATCAGAGGCTGAGGCAGAAAGATCACCCCACTAAACCACACAGGATACCCTGTCTCAAAAAAAGGGCTCTGTATTAAAATTGTAGAATAGCTGATTAACAGCAGAAAGGTTTACTTCACTGCTTTATATCTAGTATTTTCTGTAAATATCTAACAGACTATAACAGCAATAAAAAGAAACCTCGTATCTGCTGAGAATTTTTTTCATTGAAACAGTGTGTCTGAGACAGAAACACTGCTCTAATAAAAACCATCCTACAGCCGCTTTGGTATTTTTTTTTGGGGGGGGTACTGGGAATCGAACTCAGTACCTTGCACATGCCAGGCAGCTGCTTGTGCCACTCAGCTATATACTGGGCCCCTTAAACCTTGATGGCTACCACAACCCTGAATTTTCTGAAGAAACAAGTTGAGCGAACAACAGTGTGTAACTGTTATTTTTTCAGTAAAAAACACTAAGCAAGGAAGGATGATGAGAGCCGGTAAACTTTTCAAGCACAAAATAAAGAGAAAAATGACAAAAGACAGGGCTGGACCGGGTACCAGTCAGAAGTTTCTGGATTTGTTCTATAGCTTTAGGCAAGTCATTTTAATCTGGACCCAAAAATATGGAACTTGACTAAAAGACTGAGTTTTTTTCTGAAAACCAGAGTAATGATAATCTTTGAGGATAGACTTGAAATTGGTACATCAACAATTAAGCAACAACTTTTTTTTTTTCCTAAAAGCAACAGCAGTTTTCTTTTTCGATCCAGACACACACACACACACACACACACAGAGGACAGAACTCAAGAAACCCCGATGGTGGAAAGATGGAGGGATCCTGCTTCCTTGGCTAGAAAACTCCAGTCACTAGTGATTCTACAAGTCAGCCAGAAATGGGCAGAGCGCCCAGCAGGAAATTTTATTTTTGGCCAAGAGGGAACTCCTAGAAGCTTCTGGTTTCAGTCTGCATTTTCTTCAGCAGAATCCCACACTTGTGAATGAGAGGCTCATTCTTAAGTCTTTCAGAAGAATTCTGTGATAATTTGGCTCCTATCTATATAAATGGTAGTCTTACTTTGCTGCTACAGAAATTCTATTGTAGTAAATCAATCCCATCAGATTAAGTCAGTGTTGCCAATACCAATTTTTTTGGCTTTGGAACCCTCTCCATGCCACCTCTAGACATGGTAACATCTTCCTCTCTGCATCACACTTTCTGAACTGCCCTCCCAACACTGGTCATCCCCCACACAACACTGCATTTTGTACTCTAATTCCCAGAGTTCATCCAGACCCCCTGGTAGGCAGAAGGTAAGTTCTGGACCACTGCGATCTTGCTCTGCTGTGTACTTGAGCCCCTCAATTATGGGCAAGTGCTCAAAATTAGCTGCAGGAGGCCTGAATCAATGTTTTAAGTACTGTTGTTTGTGACCTTACAATTAAACATACACTCCAGACTGTGCTTTTATTTTTAAAGACTTATTTATTTGGTACAGGCCAGCACAGCAATGCGATACCAGGGATCGAACCCAGGTCCCCCTTGAGCTTGCTTGCCAGGCAGGTGCTCAGACCGCTGAGCTATCTCCCCTGCCCCAGACTATGATTTTATTTGGGTGGTGCCAGTGCCAGGGATCTAACACAGGACCTCACGCATGCTAGTTATGTACTCTACCACTAACTATATACCCCAACCCAACTATATACTTCTGACTAGCAAAAACCCTGTTTTGATTTTTAAAAACCCTATTTCTATAAAATAATGTTTTGTAGCATTATAAAACAAACTGTCATATTCCTACCAGACTGAGATGATTTTCTAATTAAGGATTACTCTTTTTTTGCGAACTGGGGAAAGGGTTACTCTTAAATTTCAACATTTCAAAATTAGTTTTGGCAGTCCAAATGTAAAAGATGTCAAACCTCTCAATAACGTAAATATCTATGCTTCACTATTTTCAGTCCATCTAGCTGTCTGTTGCAGCTAACATTCACTAGGCTGAGTACAGTGCTATGGGACTTTACACTGGTATTTGATACTCTGAATAATGCTATGAAGTCAGGTCTCATAAACTCTCAACTTAGAAGCTGGGAATTTAGTGACTCAGACCAAGGCCAGAGCTTGTAAGGAGGGCTTGACTAGTCTTTTTTTTTTTTTTTTTTTGCAGAACCAGAGATTGAACTCAGGTCCTGACTTGACTGGTCTTGATACAACCTTTCCACTTAAACATTTCATCTACATTAAGTTTCCAAATCAAGACTTAATACTGTATGTTCAATGCTCAAGAAAGATTCAGTAGATGTAAAATCATGATGTCTCCTTAAAAACAGGAGGCATTAAATAATACCTAAGTTATGGAATGTTCCGTAAGACAATACTTATTTACCATGCTTCAAACATTCATCAAAATATAATTGTTAAGCACCTACTGCAAGTCACTCAGTTAAGATGCTGGGGGACATCTAGGCAACAGAACAAAAGGGCACCAATTTGTCTTTTTTTTTTTGGTCTTCATGATGTTTACATTCTTAAGTAGGTAACAGATAATTAGGACAACTAGGCTAACCAGGCAAACACAAATTGTTCTAAGTGCTATTCTTTACCTGAAAGATACTTTCAATATTTTTTAAGTTCAAATGTCTTATTCTCGGGCTGGTGAGATGGCTCAGTGGTCTAAAGCACCTACCTAGAACAAGCTAAGCTAAAGCACAGAGACCGCGGTTCAATTCCCCAGCACCACATGCCAGCCAGCCCCGCCCCCTGGTGGGCTGAGCTGGCCACACACACACACACACACATAAATAAATAAAATTTAAAATAAATAAATAAATAAAAATATTTTAAAAAAATGTCTTATTCTCTCGCTATTAACTGGCCTTGAATTCACTATATAGCCCAGGCTGGTCTCACCTCCCAAGGGCTGGGCGTGCTGGGATTATAACTGTTTGATACCACCCCAGTGTGTTAGGATGTTAATAGTAAAAAGTATGATGCAAAAAGGTACATTATCTGGCCTATTTGGTAAGTCACTAACATCTCTTATAAACAAAAATGTCCAATTTTATCAAGAACTGTTGGAACAATGAATGCATTCAATATGTATCACAAAAATGCACTATAAATCTTTAAAAAGCAGAAGAAAAACATGAGACAGGGAGGAGGGACAAAAAAAGAAAAAATAAAAATATAACTTTAATAAATAAACAGGGTAAGAGAGGCTGAAGGAGAGGAGAATCAGAAAAAAAAAAAAAAAAAAAAAAAAAAAAAAAAAAAAAAAAAAAAAGACCAGCCAAATAGCTTAGCAGATTAAAGCGCCCTTTTAGGCAGATCCAGGGCCCAGAGACTCCCGGGTCTGCAGTCTGGGCCCATCCCTGGGGCACCCTGAGCTAATGAGACTGAGTGTGGTGGATGGTGCACCTGCAACCCCAGTGCTTGGGAGGCTGTAAATAAAGAGGGTCAGTACAAGTCCGATCTACACAGTGAGACCCTGTACTAGATACACACACAAAAGAAACAACATGTAAAGGTACAAATTTCCTATGATGTTATCACTATATATAACTAAAATGTACCAATACAATAAAAAGAAATACAAAC